ACACCACCCAACAACCCACACAAAAAAAAAAAAAAAAAAAAGAAAAAAAAAAAAAGGGCCCTTTTTTCAAAAAAAAAAAAAAAAAAAAAAAAAAAAAAAAAAAAAAGGTTTCTGAGACCCGTTCCTTGCATTTTTGTATTTATATATTTTATCTAACAATAAAGAAAAAAATAGGACTTTTGTGTGATGTGTTAGAGCCTGTAATGTGTCTTGAGCCTTCTGGGACCAAGGACACTACTGCAGCTTTGGCCTCTGGTTCTGTACTCTTGTAGGAAGTGTGTGCACTTCCACGTCCACACCTGTACTTAGATTTAATAGAACTCCATCTCTAGTTCGCTTGTAGTTCCTGTCCCCATGCCTAGAGCCCAGTATACAAGTGAGAGACTGCAGATAAGCCAACCTGGGGTGTGCTAAGGGTTGAACCTAAGGACTTAGATGCTAGGTACTCTAACAGTGAACTGTATTCTCAGCCCTTTCTTCATTTGAAACAGTGTCTTGATAGGGATGCTGATCTTGAACTTTTAGTCCTCTGTCTCAGCATCTGCATTGTCTGGATTAGGGGCCCATGGCACCCTTTCTTCATTTGAGACAGTGTCTTGATAGGGATGCTGATCTTGAACTTTTAGTCCTCTGTCTCAGCGTCTGCATTGTCTGGATTAGGGGCCCATGGCACCAGGCCTGGATTATAGTCTGCTCAAGGCATATTGGGAAGTCTGGTTAATACAAGAAAGCACTTGACTTCTCAGAGAAGCATCTGAAGGTATTGGGATAGCAGTGTGGTTTTGGGAAATGAGAAATTTGCCCAGGGGACTGAGGAACCAAGCGTAAGGCATGGATGGTTTGGGCACTCAGGAAGAGATGATGTGTCATGGAGCATGATTTAATTGAATGGTAACAAGGTGTCTCTACAGGGTTCTTGATGGGTCCAGATGGAATAAAATGGTCACCCAATCACAAACCCAGTGGGAAGCCAAGTGGTGAAAGTCCTTGGACCTGCCTCACTTGTGGAGGGGCTGACCAGGCTTAAACCCAGTACCCACTGAGAAATGGCAGCAGCTAGGCCTGGTGTGGGTCTAGCCTGGAACTGCCCATCTTGTTCCTGTGTTACCTTGTTCCTATGTTACCTCACTTCCCGCTGGTGGTTTCCACAGATGGGATGCTGGCTGTCCCAGCCATGCTGAGAGAGCAGTACCCATAAGGCCTGGGCTC